AACTTCGTGAACATGGAGAGGTAGTGTAGTTAGGTGGAAGTAGTCGGCGAAAGGCTGAACGGCCTGGCTAAGCCATTGCCATGGTGGGATAGGGAATGGATCATGCATCGAAAAATGATGTGTCGAAAATTAGGGTAAATCTGAAAGGGACGACAAGATAGTAACCTTAACACACAACGAGTGTGTTTAGGAGCGAATCTAACTCTCCTCGTTGTAATGCGGAAATCGAGATATTTATGTACCTATCTATGTACGGTATGTATGATGAAGTAGGCAGCTCTGTAACGACCGACCGAGAGTGTCAAATAGTAATAAGGTTCCACTTTCCTGTCCCAACAAATCGAAGGTGTACTCTGTAAGATCCGGGAGAATTAACCAATTACACTTTAAAGTTAAATCTTAGCATCTTTAACCGAGACAGATAAGTGGAACAGGGGTGATGTGTATAATCTTTGTATGGGGTATTTATATTGAACTTACTCGAGAATACTGCAGAACTATTCTAGATGTTTATATTACGGTTTGTATTACGGCCAGGTTCAGTTGTAATAGACTAATAACCATGTTGTTGCACTTGATGAATCATTGCCTTGTATTTTATCATGTTTCAAATTTCTCTCAAGACCCTATCATGAATCAATTGACTTCAGCAACAAATGTCTTGCACGGTTGCACACGTGAATGAAATGAATGATTAGACTGCCACGTGGAATCGATATACACATGATATGATAACGAGATGAATGATCCGTAGCATCATGTAGAACTGACCTCCTTTCCTTCAAAAATAGTCGTTCGTTCAACGCCTGCATCATACACCAGCTCCTGTATTGACTTTCTTGCTCTGAAATCCCGGGCTCCGTTCTTACCGAAAATAATGAAACTCGCAGGAGCTCCAACCTCCAACTTAAGACTGCGCGTGATATCAAGACCTATTGCTGCTCTTGCTCTTGTAGATACACATTCCTATATTTCCTGATTAGTGGTATTCTGAATTGCTGTCGAACGAGGTACCATTACCAATAAGATCTCGGCATCTGCCTTTGTGCCTGTTTGATAAATGCCCATACCCAGACTTGTGAGACTCATAGGGTCACAACTACCGTAAGGGGTGAAGGCATTGCCGACGTTATTAATTCCTATAACTGCGTTGAGATCGTATTTCCTTATCATCTCAATCACTTGAAGTGTGCCCCTTGCTCTGCTACTCCCACTGGCACCCTTCGCAGGCCGACCCATCATGAATAAATCCGATGTAGGTAATCCGACAAACGCGATAGGTAAATCGCCAATCTCAAGACGAAGATCCCGCCAGGCATTCTCATCAAAGAGTGTGAGTCGGGTGCAATGTCCAAGCACAACAGTTCGAAATTTCAAGCCCGCGATATTTCTGTCGGTAAGCCACTGGACCTTACGGAGTTGTTCAATTACCGTATGAACGGCAGGCTTTTGGTTTGAATCTAGATTGTAGTCGAGGTGAAAATCCAAATGTAATGTGTGTGATTTCGCCGTTTCAACGGCCCATTGAATGTTTTTCTCTTGGAGGGCAAAACTTTTCTCGACGTATGGGGTACTTCCAAGCACCTCGACCCCGGGTCGTTTGATTGCTTCCTCGAGCAAATCTGACATTGATCGAGGTCCATGGTCGTGACTGAAGATTGGGTCCTGGGCAAATACGCATATCTGAATATGACACTTGCCATTAAATTCCGCTTTCAATGCCAATCCAGCATCCAAGCATTTCATCCCAACACCAAAGTCTACTTCAACAAAAGCTCGCATATGAGTGACACCGAATCGAATGCTCTCCTCAATCAAAGCCCTCCCCCTTTCCACAAGATCATCATGTTCGAAACGTGACTTGGCTTCACCTAACACATACAGAATTTAGAACAAGTCAAGAATGTGTTTATGGTGGCAATATCAACTTGATGATTGACGAAACATTCAGAGAGAGACAAACTAGTTAATTTCATTGCCTCGGAAAAATCACCGTCGTTGATTTCTAGATCTGCATATTTTGGATGTGATAATAAGAAGCATTTATCGAGATGGATGTGAGGGTGACACAAGCCAGGGACTATGAGGCGATAGTCCTTTTGCTTCGCGGAATCTGATGTAGAGTTGTCTGCACATGTAATTGAGCGAATAGAACCTGTCAAACAGTCGACATCATGACATGAATCCGAAGGATCTCCAGGAATATGAACATCTTTGAAGCTTGAGATTTCATTATCCTGTAGCTTCTTCGGTTGCTCAACATTTGGCATGAGGGTTTCTGACATTTTGAACATATTTTCGAAGTGATGATTTACTCCTCTCCATTGGCAATCCGCAGATTTAAAGAAAGCGATGTGGGGAATTGTGAAGGTCCCGCCCGCCAGGTCTCGGAGTGCAGTAGCGTACTTTTGGAGCTCTTGGAGTGAGCATCGATCATTGCTCTAACATTTTATTTTATTGTATGTACTCGTACATCAACCACGAAACAAAACTACAAAACAACCTGAGCCGGTGTCATTTTTGGTGTCAAAATGGCAGATCCGTTATATGAGCTTCTCATTCCATATTTTGATAAACCGTCGCCACGACCAGCACCACCGTCGACTGATCCCACAACTGCCACCTATTTGAATCGACTCTCTACCCTTCCCCTCTCCTCACTAAATACTTCCGAGCCTCAATCGCTTTCCCAAACATCCCACTCTCTTCTTCTATCTCTACAAGCTCTGTCCAAGCGCTCTCATAAATCAGTCATCGCATCTTCCGACCATTTATCAACACTTACTACTACTCTCCCTACCCTTGCAAAAGCCACCGCAGACTTACGAGATGCCCTTCCCAAGCTGGACGATGCAGCTATTCATTTCAGCGAAAACTACAACAATCGAATTGAGAATGACGTCCTCGATCGACGTCGTAAAGCTCTTTTATTATCACGGAACGTAGACAGACTCGCGGACGTGCTCGACTTACCTACCTTACTCTCTACCGCGATATCCTCTTCGAACACAATTCCTAGCGGTACGACTGGTAGAGAAAATAACACTTTAAATTATGCTTCTGCATTAGATCTGAATGCACATATCAGACGACTACACGCATTATATCCTACATCCCCCCTCATAACGAGTGTATCCTCACAAGCGGAGGAGAAGATGCAATTTATGGCCACAAATCTCATATACTCCTTGCGACAACCCTCTCTCAAACTTGCAGCTGCTATGCGTACAATCTCTTGGCTACGGCGTGTCTCCCCTGAACTCGATCCTTCTACATCCATACCAAGCTCTTCACAAACACGAGAAGGGGCGTTAGGCTCTTTATTCCTTGTTTGTCGCCTTGCCAGTCTTACAGCTATGCTTAATGCACTCAGTCCTTTGCGGGATCTCGCTGATCAAGAATCATTGCGGTTAATTTCGTCGACTGGAAAGGCAGGAGGGAACAAATTCGATGCAGGGCAACAGACAGAAAAATATTTAAAACGCTACATTGAGATATTCCGGGAGCAGAGTTTCGCAATGATTTCCATGTTCCGTTCTATATTTCCACCACCGACAGCTCAAGTCACAATAGAGGGGCTTAAAAACAATACGGAAGGGAAAGAAGATAACGATTTACTGGGTCCATTACCCAGTGCCTTGACTACTTTTCCTCTTCAATTGGTGGGAATGTTGGAGGAAACTCTGAAACTTTATCTGCCTAATGTCAGGGACAAAAGTGGTAGAGATAGTTTGCTCACTCAAGTTCTTTACTGTGCCGGTAGTTTGGGACGATTGGGGGGTGATTTCAGTCTTGTTCTTGCTGGTATGGGAAGTAAAGTCGACCAGGAAGAAGTAGCCGAGGGGGAGCCTGATGAGGATGAGGATGATGATGAAGAATGGGCAGAGGTTATCAAAAAGCATCGGGTTTTGGCGGGCAAGCTGGAATCTATGGTAGGGTCCAGAGGAGACTAAAGACCATGTGGTATGGATTCAGGCCATTTCGACCAAGTTTATGATTTTATATTTTCCAAGATACCCAAGTAAATTAGAATTGTCGCATTTATTAGTACTTTTACAATGTACATTATTAATACATCAGACTGACAACTAGGTATCCTCCAAATAAGTGAATATCAACATCTAGAAGTAACAATCCCATAACTGGTCGGAACCGAAGCCACGCTAAGCATGGTCTTGGCCAATTAGATAATCCTTGATTGTCATCCCTCAACTTTCAAATTATCAAATCCCTTCCTTACCTACGTACCTAGGTAGGTACCTGAATTATCTCATAACAACAACAATACACCATCTTTCCCTCCAGACGGTCATTCAAGCTTAACAATATGCACACACACTACATCCAACAATGGCTCATTGAATTCACGAATCTTAAACTCCAAGTCTCGTTTGGCTTCCATTAATTATCATAGGGTTCCAAGGTTCGTATACCGAGCTCTCGATCTGGGTACATATACGTATAATAGTATATTTCTGATTTTCGATGATCGGTAGTCAGTAATCGAGTTGCTTTCTAGAATGGGTGTTTTGAGGTATATGTATATCCGGATGGCAACTTGCATTTGGAAGATTCTCATAAGCGATGTATAGATTCAGTGGGGATAGTGGGTATGCTTTATACATTTCTGGTTCAAATAGGCTCTTTGTGAGTTGGGCTCGTGTCTGAGGATGTTGAGGATGATGTAGCGATAGATCGACAGTTGATGGAGGTTGCAGTTGTTTGACTTGTATGGAGCTTGAATAGGTTCGACAATGAGTGCTAATGCTCATGTAGTATGCAGCACTCAATCTCTGGGGAAAATCAACATTTTGAACACATGCATGTCATGGAGGTTCTCAATAATATGTTCCATCATCTCTGAATATGGTTCAGTGTTTCATTAATATTCCCCAACTTCATCATTGCAAGATTCTGTATCCGAGAACTTAGCTAGTGCTACCAGATCCAAATTTCACGCACAGGGTAGCTTTCATATGTTCCCCGAACAGCCAAGCCATTTAGTCCGAAATAGTGCGGACTGGTACCTCTCTCACTGTATCTATAGCCTTCTCAGGATCTTTAGCCACCGATGAAGTTTCACTGCTGGTTCTTCTATATTTCTGAACATCAACGCTCGGTGTGACCTTTTCATCCTTGTAGATGGCGCGTTGCTTCATGTTTGCGATATGTCCCTTCACAGTTGTGATGGGTGCAAAGTAAGGTCTTAGTGTTGGGGCAAGTGGGAGATGGCCCTTCACTTCCTTATATCTCATTAGAAGGAACCCAACAATGACCACAAGCCAATAGAGGTTGTATGAGATGACGGAGCCATAGGTTGCGGAGTTCTGCCAGCCGAGAATGGCATTGAAGATTCCCCATCCGCCACCACCATTTAATTCAGGGTTGCCAAACTAGAAGTGTCAGTAGATGCGTATACTGATAGTGTCGATTTAACTTACGTTGACATGCCACACACTCTGCCTAATATCATAAGAACCCGGACCTGCTCCAGTCTCTGCTGCGTCGCCTCCGGTAGCATCATTCCAATTCTGTGCTTGAAAGAACCATACTGCTCTTGAGAAAAGACCGGCAGCTACGAGATATAAGAGACATGTTGATATAACCAAGAAGAATTGAAGTTTCGATGTTGCTCCACCTCTGCGTCGTGTTAGTCTGACCAGCAGGATTGACGAGCTTGACTTACTTATATATGACATATCCTGCTGCTAATCCAGCAATCAGTCCAATGATGACTGGGAGTGGGATACTTGTTGCAGGCGTAGAGAAAGAAACACCTGCCACGAAGACGACGGCCTCAAGTCCTTCTCTAAGAACGGTAATGAAGGGAAGAACAAACATGAAGTGTTTCTCTCCCCATTTCTTGAAGTCAAGCCAACTAGCGTACCATCTTCGTTTTCTTGTATCTTCTGATGGCTCTAAATGTTGACGAAGCTTAACCGTCCACTTTTCCTTCATTTTTGACACACGGAGTAGCGCAGCTCCCATCAAAGTGATGATAACAGAGGCGACGATAGCAAATGAGCCCTCCCAATAGTATTCAGTAGTGGACCAGGCATCTTTACCAATTCCATAGAAAGCCCCGATCAAACCACCGCCGATGATCAAGCATAGGAGGAGTCCTGATAAAGCTCCCCAAATGACCTAGAAGCTATTCGTTAGAATCATGATCAATATTCTAAGCCAATATGGGAAAGATCAAGCGGATGGATAATCAGATATCTTACCTGTCGAAACAGCTTCTTGCGCAATGTCGCATCTTGATCAGAATTGCCCAAACTCTGCTTGATGAATGCAAGAAGAACGGAAACGATGACGACCGTCTCTAAAGACTCTCGAAATACGACGAAGAATACTGGTACCGAGAAAACGCTAGCAGTCATCTTCGCTATAATTACCTGTTGTATTTTCTGTTTCTCTGAGGGATTGTGGAGTTCCAATTGCGCGCTGCAACAAAGGGAGAGAAAAGACAACTTTTTGAAGAGAAATCAAACTCTCAAATCATGGAAGGATGATGCCGTTTATCCAGTATTTCCATCAAAATCGAAAGATGGAAAGAGGGAAAGGGCGGAAGGATCTGATAAGAAGAAACGAGGATCTGATAACAGTTAGACACTAGGGAGGGTCTGAGCGATCGAGTAAAATTCTTCAATTTTAAGCTAGCTAGTAGCTAGTGAATTGCTCTAATCTTTATTAGAAAAAGAACCCCCGAGATGAAATCCAGGGTTTTATTGGTCGGATACGGAAACTTTAAAGTTTGCTAGCCTGGTATTGGCAGGTTGTAGATTTGGAATGACACCCGGGAACCTTGATTGGTTGGTATAAAGAGGTCGAGGTTACAAGTCATTATTACTCTTGGTATGGACTCCATGTACATACGAGGGCGGTACGACTTGTTACTTGTTACGAATTCAAATCGATACCTACATGTGTGTACTTGGATGAACTTATGTATGGAAAGTTGTCACATTTATTGATGATCGTATTATCAATAACAATTCATGTCCACCAGTCCTATCGTTTTCCTTTTTGCGGAACTATCTGGGTTATTTCCGCAGTAGGCGTTTAAGCTTTACGGTTAGGTAATACTGTACGACCCGAAAGCTTGAGCTAAAAGCTTGTACGCCCGTGGGGTTATAGCTGGTATCCTGGCTCGAGCCTGGTTAGTCTAACCGTTTTCGTACTTGGTCGCACAAGCTAGGTAATTCGATGATTTCGATGAATTCCGAGTCTGTAAGGTGAATGAATAATTTTTGGTACGATGGGGAGAAATGAAACGAAACGATGTTTATCAGATCATCAAAGATTTCATAGATAAGGACTCGATGTGGATTCAATTTGGCTGAAGCTGGGTTTGAAGTTTGAATATACCTAGGTAGGTTGTATGTAGTAGGTACGAGTTATTGGACACCACTTTGCATCGAACATCAAGGGTTTCTCCCTGCAGCTACCTATTCCTTCTCTTTCTTTCTTTCTTTCTCTCTTTCTCTCTTCTCTGTATGATTTTATCACTCAATTTGCCTCCACTTCTACGTTTCATACTGATCGTCCGAGGCGTTGGAACAGCAATCGTTGATCTATCAAATCACATCAACACATGCTTCCTTAATTCCGTCTCATCGAGTTACATTTCGGCCTGAGTGACTTCCGGGATATCTGATCATATATCATCAAATACAGCCGTGATATCGATCACTTCAGCTTTTCTCTCGCACACGTATTCGGCTAGAGCTTTGCCGTATGATTTTCTCTTGTCATTTGACTGCAACGACCGGGGGTAAAAAGCTTCTTGCGATTAAGAATATTTACCGCGACTTGGTAAACAAGCTTGGAAAGCCTAGATTTTCTCTTAGCTCGATATTCTCTACTACGCCTGCCCTGATTCGGAACATACTCCACTCAAGCTCGTGTCACCCGTGACCCATCAATTACGGTACAATATCGTTTGATATTTAATCAGATCATCTTATCAATCATTAGCTTTTCTTAGGTAGCTACCTAGCCCTTGCGAATTTACTCCCCTCTTCAACAGGGCTTTCGGGTATCCACTTTCTTACTTCACTCCATCCATCCGTCGACAGCTACCTTCTCTCATTACCTTGGTTATCTGGTTATCAATCTCTGTTTTGGGTTGATATTGGGAGCTCTCGAGTATTCACTTGCAAGATAATTTGAAGTCTTGAGGAAATTATCTCGACCAAAGTTTGATCCTCACCTCGTTGGCAATTTCACTCATTACTTGATTTGAAAATGGCAATTTCTCTATCATTTTTCCCCATCTTATCGGCGCTGCTTCTTGCATTTTCCCTCCTCGCAGAAGCAGCGACGGTTACTTATGACTTCAACATTACTTGGGTACGAGCAAATCCCGATGGCGCTCATGAACGTCCAACCATTGGCATTAATGGACAATGGCCATTGCCTATTATAAGGGCAAATGTTGGGGATCAAGTAATTGTTAACGTTGATAATCAACTTGGCAATCAAACTACAACACTTCATTTTCACGGTCTTTTCATGAATGGCAGTACTCATATGGATGGACCTGCACAAGTATCTCAATGTGGAATTCCCTCTGGTTCACAATTTGTTTACAATTTTACTGTAAGTTGGCCATAATATATGAAGAACACATACGGTTAACGTGAGCGCTCACTAAACTTATCTCAGGTTAACCAGCCAGGTACTTACTGGTATCATTCCCACGACAGAGGGCAATATCCAGATGGACTTAGAGCGCCATTCATTGTCACGGATCCAGACTTTCCATATGCGGATGATGTTGACGAGGAATTTGTCCTCTCGGTCTCAGACTGGTACCACGAGGAGATGCAAGTCTGGATTCCTAAGTTTATCGGAGTTGCAAACCCAACTGGAGCGGAGCCTGTTCCTCAAGCCGTTCTTCTAAATGATACTCAAAACCTTACTCTATCCGTACAACCCGGGAAGACCTACCTATTTCGCATGGTCAATATTGGTGCTTTCGCTGGCCAGTACATTTGGTTCGAAGGCCACAATATAACCATTGTCGAAGTTGATGGCGTCTATACTGAAAAGGCAGAGGCAGAATCTATATATATTGCTGCAGCTCAGAGATACAGCTTTTTACTCACCACCAAGAATGACACTTCGGCGAACTCTGCTTTTGTCACAAGCATGGATACGGTAATTACAATGTTTGATTAAAATTAGAGTCTTTGCTAAAACATTCTAGTCCCTTTTTGACACAATTCCTGACGGCTTGAATTGGAACGGCACGGGATGGCTGGTCTATGACGATAATAAAGCCCTCCCGGATGCCGCATTTGTTGACGAATATAACGATTTCGATGATTTCAATCTAGTACCTTACGATCGCATGGCGCTACTTCCAGAACCTGATCAGGTTATTAGTCTCGATGTAGTCATGGACGTGCTTGGAAATGGTAAACCATAGTAGGTGATTTCGTATCATTTTTATATCGCAATTCTGACTCTTGATAGTGCATTCTTCAACAATATTACATATGTTTCCCCCAAGGTTCCCACCCTATATTCAGTTATGTCCACTGGAGATGATGCTGCAAATGCTGCTGTTTATGGAGAGTTCACTCACTCTTTTGTTCTTAATTACCAACAAACAATTGAAATCGTCGTAAACAACCTTGGTAAGTACAAAAACATGATGAGCAAAACCGACCACGTGGTATCCATCCTGTCGTCGCGAACATCACCTCCGAGTACTCCGCTAATGCTCTCTAGACTCCGGCAAACATCCTTTCCATCTCCACGGTCACAACTTTCAAGTAATCCAGAGATCCGATGAAGATGCTGGCACATTCGACTCTACCAACACAACAGAGACATCCTTTCCAGCTGTTCCCATGCGTCGCGACACAGTCGTTCTTCGTCCATCCGGCTACCTCGTTCTCCGTTTCCAATCCGACAACCCGGGAGTTTGGCTCTTCCACTGCCACATCGAATGGCACGTCGACCAGGGTCTCATCGCAACCATGATCGAAGCCCCTCTGGAGCTCCAAAAATCTCTCACTATCCCAAAGGATCACATCACGGCTTGCCAAGCTCGTGGTGTACCATATGCAGGTAATGCGGCTGGTAATACGGAAGATTACTTGGATCTGAAAGGTGCCAATGTAGCCCCTGGCCCGCTGCCTGCAGGTTTTACGGCAAAGGGAATTGTAGCTATGGTGTTTAGTTGCTTGGCTGCGCTTTTGGGTCTAGCTACCATTACGTGGTATGGGCTTGCTGAGATGGGGGATGCGGATAAGGAGGCGGAGAAGAAAAGATTGGCGGGAGATGGAAGTGAGAGTCGTGAAGGCGTTTTTGTTCCGGAGAGTGTTATGGTGGAGAAGTAAGGTGATTTTGTAGAAGTATGTGGTTTGGCTTGCGACCCTAGGGGGGGGGGGGGGGTTATAGTGGGAGGAAACGAATAAAGACTCTGAAATAATTTTCGAGATGAACATCGATTTCATAGAGTTAACGAGGAAATGTACATATGATAAATGATTAATACCCTGCTGATACCAATGATTATCTTTTTTTGTTCAAATACCACCAAACCTTTCCATGCCTAGGTCCATGTAAAAATTCTGATCTCTTTACATGTATCCCACTTTGAGAACCACGCTGCTTACCAGCTACCAACTAGCATTTTTCGAAGTTCCATCTCTAAAGATGGGAAGGGATGTTATAGTTTGTAAGATTACTTGTTTGCGTTTCACCATCACATCGTGGAAATGAATGAGACTGTGAACTTTGAGCTTTAAAGAGTCTTGTTAATGAAGAGGTATATATACCTCTTCAACGAACTATTCCATCATAGCATGAACCCTGGGGTGAGACTACGAATGGAACATGGGTCTGCTTTCTTTAGGTTGACGCGAACTAGAACCACATAGAATCCAGTGAGAACTACTCTTTTCCCGAAAATGACTCTGTAAAAGCTACTTAAATTCTCAACATTCCTGCTCTCCAAACTTGGAATCGAAATCGCTATACGATATGAGATAAGGTAGATGAAATTCAACGGTCATGATACGTGAGAATGAGGAATGCTACTACTACATGCATTGATGCCGTTACGTTTTCGGGATATCTGATTCTATAGCCAGGAAAGAAGTAGTGTGTTGTATAGACTGTAGGTACTGTGACAATAATACGTAGTCGTGCAAAAAGAAACAACAACAAAAATACAAATCCAACTCATATTGAATTTACTCACCACTGGGCCATATCGACAGTAATACAAACACCCCTTATCTGAGGAACCACCAGTTCAACCCGCACCATTTCCTAGTAGAGGAATCACTTGATGAAAAGTTTTTTTCACGTGAAAATTGAAAGATTGGTTGGTCTCCATGATAGATTGGTTGGTCTCCATGATAGATTCTGCTCTTCGTATTTTGAAGTGCATATGAACAAAAACAAATGTGATATTGAGTCCTTGTATACCAACCTCCAGGATAATTCGACGGCTAGTAAGAGCCATTGACTTGACAAAGAATACTCTATCTCAACTCGACATCTCAAAGGACAATCTCACAGAGTGTGCCACATCACTTACTTTCACTTGCGAATTTGTAGTATATAACATCTCCATTCTCCTTCCTTTCTCTTTCTCTTTCTCCAAAACTTTTATAAGATGCCAGAAAAGCCCCCAGAAGGTGAATATGAGTGGGATGGACGATTAAACCTTACCAAACACTAAATCACCCCTCTAGTCACAAGACCGAAGCCAAGAGAAATAACAGAACCAATGAAGAAAAATAAGCCTGAATCTGATGTTGAGTGTATGAATGAAACAGGAGTGACAACAACAGCTACTCAGCACTCCAACTCAGAGTAACAACAACAAAATTCTCGACGATCAAAACAGCCAAATGGTAAGAATATCGGAAACAGACACTTCAGTTCTTCGCCCCTGCAGAGGACTATCTGCGTCGAGTCGTGTTGATCTCCGAGGATACACTACGCCTGTCTACATGGCCTTCAAATTCTCGGCTGTCTTCGTTTCTGTTTCCTGAGTTGTGAAAGGAAATCCTGGGCTCATTTTATATAGCAACTACCCTAGTGCAGATAATTCAAAAAGTAAGGGCTCCACCGTCCCCGCCACTCACCAGACATTCACAAGGCTGGCCTATTGGCCTAGAATTTTCACAAGCTCTTTCATTGAATCACTATAGCACATAAAAGTGTTCATAAAATTGGGTATTCGTATTAAGTACACACCAGAAAAAGGCACCAAGCTAGCTACATAAACGAGAAAGAAGAAGAAAAACAATAAACGCAAGAAGTGTACATATGTGCCGTGTCGGTCACCCAAACAGTCCACTGCCCCAACTTGCTGATTACTATAATGATCCTGTTTGCTCATGAATTCAAGACCCTGAGTTTTTGTTTTCGAGGTGGCAAACCAGAGCCATAATCGAGGTATCTTGAACGCCTAAACGCCACAGAAATGCGTGATATGAATCGTGTCAATAAATTACCAAAGGAATTGTTGTGCGAATCGCCAGCACCATGAAACTCATCATTTGAGATGAACTATGTTCCTGGTGGAGGTGGTGGAGGTGCGCCTGGGAAAGTGAATCCTGGAGGAAACATTGGCATTCCATTAGGAAGTGTTGGAAGAGGATAAGGGAACGAGCCTAACGGGAATGGAGGCATGACTGGCGGAACAGTATTGGCAGGGAATTTATGACCTTCATCCCGATGGTCATCCCGACGATCTTCTCGATCACGACGATAACGAGGTCTCTCATCCTCCTCGTAATCGCGAGCGCCAGATTTTGGACCATTCTTTCCACCGTTGTCGGTTTGCATGCGACGGCTAATTGCCTTGGACGAAACACCTTGACCGATTTCAATATCAGGCTCTTCGACAACCATACCAGGTTCAATTTCTTGGCCACCACTGCCACCAAATTCTGCATTGAGCATCCACTTTCGGTCGGCATCCGTGAGTTTGCTGATCGGAATGATGCTGATACCTGTTTGGTAATCACTGCAATCACGTGGTCCGAAGCCAACACCCCAACGAGTCTAGAATTAAGAGTTAGCAAATTGTTTGAGTATGGATGGCATTTATATGTAATGTACATACTCTCAATGTAGACTCGGGACTTCTGTTCTTTTCCATGGCCTCCTTAGCTTTGACAGCATGCTCGCGACTGACCATCTTAACGAAAGCGTGGCGCTTTTCTTTGTTAACAATGCAAGTTTGCACATCACCATATTGATTGAAGAGTCCTTTCAATTCATGCTCGGAAGAACTATAGATAGTCAGTATGAACGGCAAACTTTCGAAAAAGGACAATTCGAATGATAAAGACTAATGGCTTGACTTACGTAACTCCACCAACAAACAAAGTGCGACTGAGAACTGTAAGTTTTGTTAGAATAACTTCAAACATAAATGCAGACAGATTGATAATTTACCTTTGATATTTCCTTTACCAATTGAAGCATCGTGTCCAACCCATTTAGGTCCACTAGTATTTGTTCTAGGAGGTGTATTGCTGCGACGGCGTTGGGGGCTACGTTGGCGGTATTCATTACCTCGGCCGCGTCCACCTCTACCACGATCATCGGAACCTCTCATACGTGCTGGAGATTCCCTATCAAAATCATCACGACGACGAGCATTTGGAGAATCACGACCACCCCAGCCACGTTGAGGAGATGGGGATCTAGAACGACGACGGTAACGTCCAGGTGGTGATCTCATAGAATCTTGGAAACCATTTCGGTCACGTGCATCATCTCTGACACCCCAATTATTTTGAGCATGAGCATTTTGATTTTGAGCAAATGGAGGAGGAGCAGCGGCTGCAGCTCCTTGATTACCCATGGCTGCCAAGATACCAGCAATCTGTTCGGCTGGAACACCCGTAGCTGCAAGTGCCTTGATTAAAGCTACCTGTTGTTGCGTAGCTGGGTCGAGATTACCGGGAGGGTTCATTGGTGCTGCACCTGGGAAAGGATTTGGATTACTGGCAAAGTTCGGCATTCCATTACTTGGACCTTGACCATAAGCAGGCATCGAGGTAGCTGGGGCATTTACAGGTTGAGGAGCAACTGAAAATGGCAAGCTTTGGTTTACTGCTTGAGGTGGTTGAATGGGATTATGCTGCGCATGTGACACATTGTATGGATTAACAGGTGGGGTAGAAGCAACTGGCGTAGGTGTGGCATTTTGACGGGCAGTGTTTGACATATTTGCGAGAGCTGCTAATATCGAAGATGTATTAGGGGGCACAGAAACTTGTTGTGGGGGCGCCATGGTCGAAGTTGCTGAAGTTGGTTGTAAACCTAAGGCTCCTTGAAGATCTTTTGGGGGACTTCCTGGAGGTGTTGTAGATTCTACATGGCCGATAACATTATGGTTAGATATACGGCAACATTATTTTCTCTCGGGATTATATGTGACAATCTTACCAGCATTCAACTTGTCTTTAAAGCCATTCAACATTTGCGCAGGGAAGGTTTGTCCCTTCTCCCAAATATCAACTAATTTTTTAATCTTGTCCTACAAAAAACAACAAATGTCAAGTAAGTAGGAATTCATATGGAGGATTGGTGAATATAGAGAAGGTGCACAATGATATCTCGGGTTGAGGAACATATATGATATCTTGGAAGCAAATTTTCACGCAGACATAGAACATAGCTATGCTGGAAACGACTCAGTTCGAGCATTTTGAATATACTGGGCGTACCTTTTGATCATCGGGAGCAGTTTGGATTATGTCGTTCATAAAAGCGGGGAGCAATTCCTTTACTTTATGTACACCAGCAGCATACGTGCCATCCGGAGCAGAACTATTTATGGTTTGTTGAGCAAGTTTGGCTTGTTCGGTCCATTTTCGAGTTACAGAGTCTACGACGTAGAGGGTGCCAAGCTTGTGTGTGCCAGGTGTCTTTTTAAAGTGCACATATAATTTCTGAACCAAAGCGGATTCTTGCTGCAGAGAGAATGAGATGTTAGTTAGAGCTCGCAGGCAAGGAGGGAGATGGGGAGAGATGCAGCCGTGGTGGCAATGGAAGCAGCGGAACATGAGACTATCGCATACCTGGATATTTTGGGTGCAGAGGTTTGTAAGGCCTTGAATTCGAGATCCTGATACACCAGGAGGTCTTAATTGTACCATGGCTTGAAGGCCGGCTTCTAATTCTGCTACTGCGGAAGACATGATGGATATGACTTCTCAACCACTGAAGATATGAACTCAGTTCTTCAAATCAACGCGACGAATTGTTATCGACGAGGTGACAATTAAATCTAGATTACTCTCTATGATTTGATCTTCACCAGCTCGATTCCAGATTATGGGCTACGATGAAAAATTTGATGAACGGATCTATCGCGACTACGGATCTGCGACCGTCACGTAAGGTCTAGAGCTCTTCAGAACTCTGATAATAAACTTGGAGAGAGTTGTGGCAGAAGGTAGAAGTCGCTACTAATGTAACGAGATTTTGATTACTTTGATTTACCTCAGATTCAAGTAGATGGAGATTAAATGAGTTAAGGGATGTTCGAAGATGTTGAAGTTGTCGAAGTTATCCGAGTTGAAAAAGGTTGGGGTTTATGTGTAGGAGCTTCGATCATTCGATTAATCATGGAGCTAAAAGGCAAGGTCTTGTTTTTTACGCCCTAGTTAGTCATCCATCAGCTGTAAAGTCACGTGTGGGACACGAAATTATCAAATTACGGTTTCTTTGACAGAATCTCATTTCTTGTTTCACTTCTCCGAGGCAAATGGGGTGAATGGAGAATCTGATTGGTTAGATGGAAGGATGTGAGAAGCAAAACACAACAAAGTGAATCCTGACATTGGTTGAATGGAAGGTCATGAAATATGAACAACATGGAGAAGAAATATGAATTATAATTAACTTGTGAAACCTACCTATTTATGTCGACGTGCGTACCTACCTACCTACTTATGAATCAATTGCCGACCTCTTTCGTCGGTGCCCGAGGCAAAGAGCACAGAACTTGGAAGACTTGAGAATTGGCGGGGAGTTACCGATCGGGTATTGCCCAGGTATAACCGCCCTCGAGCCGCCCATATCTACTTTACCACGTGTTTACCTCCCTAGCTGGAGTACTCTGTTAATTTCGCCCCGCCATATCTATACAGTAAGCCAGATCTCCAGTTGAATGGAGTGAATTAATCCATATCATTCATTCGCGTAACCAATTAAACTAATACAATTATTGAAATCGGTGGGGATTTCCGTCTTACATTCTCGGAATAACTCGCGTTTATCAAATACTAAGGTTGACGTAGTTAAGGTAGGGGAAGCTTTCTGCATGTATTGGTGCATTGGTCGGCCTCAACACTAGCGGGTCTCCGACCATTTTTTCCGTCCACGAGCCGGAATCTGTTCTTAAATTTCTATTCTATCATACCTACATTTTTGCATTTCTACTGCAATTACAACATCTCTCACGATGGCATCCCTTCGTATTGGTCAAACCGCTCTTAGAGCATCTATGAGAGCTCCAACATTCGGTGCTAAATCCGCCGCCTTCAATGGCTTGCGATGCTATTCATCGAAGACTCAGGTATACTCCAAACTTTTCTCCATACGGCACAAGCCAGCTTTACTGACTATTCTTCTTTCTAGACTTTGAAGGAGCGTTTCGCCGAGCAGCTTCCAGAGAAGATTGAGCAAATCAAGGCTCTCCGCAAGTAAGAAATATCTTATCGATTTAAAAAATCGACACTCACTTTACATCTACATATACTTATTTCCGCAGGGGTTACGGAAGCAAGGTCATCGGCGAGGTTACTTTGGACCAAGTCTACGGTGGTGCTCGTGGTATCAAGTCATTAGTTTGGGAAGGTTCAGTTCTCGACTCTGAGGAGGGTATCCGTTTCAGAGGAAAGACTATCCCAGAGTGCCAGGAACTCCTCCCAAAGGCACCAGGTGGACAAGAGCCTTTACCAGAAGGTAAGACCTCATATGACGCTTGCTGTTATGCGCAATCACTAATTTAACCAAGGTCTTTTCTGGCTCCTTTTGACCGGTGAAGTTCCAAGCGAGCAACAAGTTCGCGATCTCTCTGCCGAGTGGGCCGCTCGTTCCGATGTACCAAAGTTCGTCGAAGAGCTCATCGACCGATGCCCAAGCGATCTCCACCCAATGGCACAATTCTCCCTCGCTGTCACTGCTCTCGAGCACGAGTCCGCATTCGCCAAGGCTTATGCTAAGGGAATGAAGAAGACCGAGTACTGGGGTCACACTTTCGAGGATTCCATGGATTTGATTGCCAAGCTCCCAACCATCGCCGCTAGAATCTACCAAAACGTCTTCAAGGGCGGTAAGGTCGCTGCTGTCCAAAAGGACAAGGATTACTCCTTCAACTTTGCCAATCAACTCGGATTTGGCGAGAACAAGGACTTCGTTGAATTGATGAGATTGTACCTCACCATCCACACCGATCACGAGGGTGGTAACGTTTCTGCCCACACCACTCACTTGGTTGGATCTGCTCTCAGTTCCCCAATGTTGTCCCTTGCTGCCGGTTTGAACGGTCTCGCTGGTCCTCTTCACGGTCTCGCCAACCAAGAAGTCTTGAACTGGCTCACAAAGATGAAGGCTGCTATTGGTGACGATCTCAGTGATGAGGCCATTAAGAACTACTTGTGGTCTACTCTTAACGCCGGTCAAGTCGTTCCAGGTTACGGTCACGCCGTTCTCCGCAAGACTGATCCCCGTTACATGGCTCAGAGAGAATTTGCGGAGAAGCATTTGCCATCGGGTAAGTTTAACCGAGCACGTGATTTGCGTTTTCAACTCTAACATTATAATTTACAGATCCTATGTACAAGCTTGTTAGCCAAGTTTATAAGATTGCTCCAGGTGTTCTCACCGAGCATGGCAAGACCAAAAATCCGTTCCCAAATGTTGACGCCGTGAGTACTTCAACTACAAATATATACAATTTAATAACTGACGCTTTTCATAGCACTCTGGTGTCTTGCTCCAATACTATGGTTTGACTGAGGCCAACTACTACACCGTTCTCTTCGGTGTTTCCCGTGCCATTGGTGTCCTCCCACAATTGATCATCGACAGAGCCGTCGGTGCCCCAATTGAGCGCCCCAAGTCCTTTTCCACCGAGAAGTGGGCCGAGATTGTTGGAGCCAAGTTGTAAAAAGGATTTCAAAAGTGTAGTGTGGAGGTAAACTTAGTGGTATACACATGGACGCCCTGAATTAATGACCAAAGGTGTAGACTGGATAGAGCCAACCATTATAAAATTGTAGAATCATTTTTTCAAGAAGTTGCAGTAAAGGAAACCTAGAGCAGGAATACGTACTCATACTTCTCCTCATGATGATTCAGTGTATAATATAATGATTTGCTTTTGCTAGAAGAACAAAGACGAAGGGAACTCCACTATCAATCTGGTATATCATGCATCCTTTTGCTTACTGACATGTGTCTCATGCCATTAAACATATACACGGATCAATTGCACCATTCCTTTCTTTTCAATGATTCAGATTTACTGGGACATTCAATCTCTTGCAAGTATCCAACTCTCTCAACTACAACCCTTAATCTTGACATAGGAAAGCGGCCCAAAGCGATCAAATGCCCAACCCATCTCAATCCCATCCAGATACAAATATCAACATCATCCCAACTATGTTATTCAAACCTGACTAGACATCTCTCGTACACATCTTGTTCGCGTTATTTCACTGTCGAGGTATTACTAATTCTTTATCAGATTGTTCAGTTTTATTGAGGGTTGTCGGTACGACGCTCTCTAGATGGATTTTGATGTACGTGATTGATTATAAGAAGACACCCCTGGAATCTGGCACTGGAGTTTGGAGTTTTCTTCTTCTTGGTGTTAGGATTGGGAGAATTGGGGGTTAGAAGGATGTGAGGGGTATGGGTGCATGAATTTATGAGGTGGTTTGGAATACTGTGGATTTTATGGAGGGGATATCACGAGCGAGGTCTATGGTGTAGGTTGTGGATTTGGGGCCAGAAATCAGGAGCCGTATTGGAGTTTGCCGAAAGAACAGGTCGGCATTGTTAACTTAGGTCATTGGGTTCATCAATCAATCACAAATTGAAGCATAAAAATCGAGATCAGTTGATGAAAGTTTAGCGTCTATTCACTTTCTAGTTTGTTCACAAAATAAATGTATTGTAAGAGTTGGAAGTAACGATTAATTGTAAAGAGTTCTCAAAAGTACTCGAATTCAGCCTATTATTTCGGCTACGTAGAGGGGAGGGGCTAGACGAAACTAACAAGTCATGTCAATGAGCAGGCCGGTGTGGTCGTATGCTTTTGCTACCTAGGTACTTGGTTGGCCCTTTGAAAATAGAAATCATTCCATTAGCTTGTGAAGGAAGCTACAGTCCTGAGACTTAAAGATGTTGGGGAAAATGAGTGAGATACTGTCAGTGTATAGAGAGTCGTTCAGAAAGTAAGGGATATGCTATGGCGCTTCATAGATAAAGGTCGTCGTTATCTCGCATCGCAAGACTGAAAAGTCTAAGAGTATCTGATTTCAATAAACTCAGCTATCACTCGTGTAGAAGACGGGGATGAGATCATCAACACAAACAATAAGTGTCCGAACCAAACAATGTTCGAGTCAAGAATGCATACAAAGTATACTCATTATTGACAACAAGATGTCGTACTAGCAAGCCGATCAATTCAGCTCGAGACTCCATCCAAAGAGGAAAAAGCAAAACTGATACCAAATTCCAGACCGCTTTTAAAGTCGGAGCGGACTTCCCCAATGAATCAACAACACATGCAATTCGTTGAGCTTGAACTTCTCAACAAATGGCCGAGGCTTCCAAGGTTGTTCCATTCTTTTTCTTTAGGGTTGCCCGAACGGTATTTAGTAGGCTTTAAATAGCAGTAGACCCTCTGTACGGAGGTAAGAAATAAGGTTGTGAACTTGTTATGTGTACACTGTACAATGATTGATGGGTGGAGAATGGACAAGAGACAGTGGACATATGCATCAGGAAAGCTGGGCCCGAGTATGATTGATAAGTGATTGATTGATAGAGAAGAGAAGTTTACTTTCTGGTGCTGCACCAGCTGGTACAAAACACAATCGAATTCATTCATTCATTCAAGACCAAGACCAAGACCAAGACTTTCTTTCTGCTGACCCCGATTCATTATCTTGCAGGAAAGAATGTGATAATACAAGACCGGTGAACAATGAATAATTTGGTAATTTACATAGCACAATACAAATAAAAGAGAGGTTTCTTTAAAGTAATTTTTATATAATTTCCAAATTTCCATGTAATTTCCTACCAGGTAAACTTTTTCTTTTATTGCTTTCTTCACCTTCACTCCAAATAAGTTTTCAGCATTATCAACAAATTCCCACATACCTACCCTTGTATCTTATCGGGGCCCGAAGACCCCAATACCGAGCACCACTCAAAAAATTAGGGTCCACCTGGTCTTTCATTAGCTTCCTATCTTTCGCGAGAACTGTGGCAGATCAGCTAAGCTCTCCTTTCAACAAACACATATCTCTTCCTCCTCCTCCCTCGCTCTCATTCCCTTTTCTTTCCTTCCATCCATCAAATCTTCCTTACTTGGGTACTTTCCAACCACAACAACAACCCTCAATCTCACCACCCTTTCCTTTGCGAAGAAGCAACCTATTCCCTTGGTCAGGGCCCCAATACAAACACCATCTACCTTATCATGTCCGCTGTTACCGCCAAAATGCCCATTGTCGGCAAACCAGCCGTTCCAGAGAAGAAACCCGTCAAGTTCTCCAACTTGCTTTTGGGGGCCAGTTTGAACTTGTTCGAGGTAACCACTTTGGGTCAACCGTTGGAGGTTACAAAGACTACTATGGCTGCTAATAGAGGGGATACTTTTGCGGGTGCTCTGGGTAGAATTTGGGGGAGAGGTGGTGTTCTTGGATGTAAGTTTTTTTCTTCATTCTTTTTTCATGGGTTTCTTGATTTCCACGTCAATCCTATTCTATGATTTGATTTGTGTATTTTTCTTTTTATTCCAGATCTGCAAGAATAACAGCTAATGATAATCCCACTACAGTCTACCAAGGACTTATTCCATGGGCATGGATCGAAGCCTCCACCAAAGGTGCCGTTCTTCTCTTCGTCGCCTCCGAAGCCGAGTGGTACGCTCGTTCTTTCGGTGCGGGTGATTTCACCGCCGGTATTAGTGGAGGTGTAATTGGTGGTGTTGCTCAAGCATATGCTACCATGGGATTCTGCACCTGCATGAAGACCGTCGAAATCACCAAGACAAACATGGCAAAAGCTGGTGTCAAGCCTGACGGTACCATGACCACTTTCATGAACATTTACCGCAAAGAAGGTATCAAGGGAATCAACAAGGGAGTCAACGCCGTTGCTATTCGTCAAATGACCAACTGGGGAAGTAGATTCGGATTGAGTCGATTGGCAGAAAGCGGTATTCGAAAAGTAACCGGCAAGGGTGAGAATGGAAAGTTGAATGCTTGGGAGAAGATTTTGGCAAGTGGATTGGGTGGTGGATTGAGTGCTTGGAATCAACCTATCGAAGTTATTCGTGTCGAGATGCAGAGTAAGACGGTGGATCCCAACCGACCTGCTAAGATGACGGTTGGCAATACCCTCAAGTATATTTATAGTCAGAACGGAGTTTCGGGCTTGTATCGTGGCGTTGTTCCTAGAATTGGGTTGGGCGTTTGGCAAACTATCTGTATGGTTGCTATGGGTGATATGTAAGTTTTCTTCCCCTTCCATCATCCCTTCACTACTCAACATCTACCTAACAAAACAATTACTAACACAAAATGAACAGGGCAAAAGCTTATGTCGAGAAATTGACGGGTGAAAAGGTCACCGCTAAGCATTAAGGCGTTTTGGGAATACCTGGCTTGCGTGCATACACACATATCTGGCATTGGTTTGGTTCTTCTGGTTTTTGTATGGAGGCTTGCTATGATCTTCTCAGAATAAGAGTAGAGGAAATGAGTTTAATGATCTGATATATGATGAATGCGATTGCAATTGCAATGCGAATTAATAGACAATTTTCGGGGTGGTAGATAGATGATATGATGGCGAGTGTCTACATGCGTGGACGAATTTGATTGAAATGAGAGTTTTTCAATCTCCATTTATGTGTTTGCGTGTCTATTGATGATTGTCCTTGTTATTGTGTTTGTTCTTTTAGCCTCTCGCCTCTTTGCATTTGGATCTCTAGTTGATGAGGTCATAGTCTCTCCCGAGGTCTTACACACATCAGTCTACATATATAGTAGAAGTTTTGATAATCTTTTTCATGATTGGATATGTTCTCTCTGCAAGTTTTGTTTGGATTGAATGGATGGGATGGGTGATAAGATGGGACTAGGAGTGGGATTGGAGTGTGAGATTGGGAATGGAGAGGAAGATGCTGGTGTGAGGCTGGGGTTGAAGATGCATATATGTAATCTTACATATATTTGTGAGAGGATAATGATGGGGGGCAATTAGGGCCCAAGATAAGAAATACGAGATGGGAAGAACGGAGGGTTTAGAAATATTTATGGGGATCGTTTGTACAGTGTTCTTCTGGACTCGGGGAGGGACTGGGGATGATGGGGTGTAGAGCTGTGTGTTTGCTGGCTTTGAAGGGGGGTGGGGAGAGGGGGGCAGAGGGAGGTAGATGGTAAATGTTAGATGGAAGATATGGATAAGAGTGTATTAATGGGACGGGAGTGTTGTGTGTTATATGGATTTGGATTATTTGAATTTGGTGAGCTGTATATTTCCATTAGTTTTTGAAAGTGCAAGAGTATAGATAGAACCCCAGGTGCCGGAGCTAAAGAGCAAGATGATGCGGATGAGAAATGTCCACAAGCCAGCAAGTGTCTTGGTAACGCAGGCTAGTAGAACGCAAATTGCTAACAGTGAGAGTGAGCCAAAACCGTGGAAAGCTTCAGTGATGCAGATGTATTAAGAGGAGAGGAAATTGCTATACATTCCCATGTTATGATAGAGTTGACAAACAGATTGTTATTCGAGACAAGCTCGGATTGGCTTCGATGTCGCTTGTTATACGGTAGAATGAATATCAATATTCGTTGGGTTTTCATAGAAAGGGAAATCGGTATTCTCTTTCCGTTTTAGTGAACTTGGAGTGTGGAATAGCGGTTCAATCGAAATTGGCTGGTAGCTTAGCATGCTTTACTTTTCAAGGTCAATTTCGGGGCGAGTGAACTCGCTAATGTTTAGGTGCGTGTAATATAGCTTTAATATTAATAAATTGAGCATCTAATACGCCTTTAGTATTAAGAAAATAAAAATGAAGCTTTTTTTTTCAATTCTTTTCTTTATAGAATTGAGTTTAGAAAAGGTATTATATAATTATATTATATAACTATATATAAATTGAATTCCTAAGTATTGAAAATATAATCTATATTATATTATATAAATTTATTAAAAAAACTTATTATAGAATTTTATTTAAAAAACTTATTCAAAAAACTTATTCAAAAAACTTATTCAAAAAACTTATTCAAAAAATTTATCTAAAAAACTTATTTAAAAAATTTATTTAAAAAACTTATTTAAAAAACTTATTTAAAAAACTTATTTAAAAAAACTTATTTAAAAAACTTATTTAAAAAACTTATTTAAAAAACTTATTTAAAAAACTTATTTAAAAAACTTATTTAAAAAACTTATTTAAAAAACTTATTCAAAAAATTTATCTAAAAAACTTATTTAAAAAACTTATTCAAAAAATTTATCTAAAAAACTTATTTAAAAAACTTATTAATTATTAAGAATTTTTTTTTTCAGATTTTAAATTTATCGAATTTCTCATTCTATTAATAAAAATATTTTTTATTTAAGTATATTATTTTATTTATAATAATAATATATAAAATATTAATAAAAAATCATATATCAATCATCATTTTTACTCAATATTATTCTTTATATTAAACTCATTTTAACGATTTTTATTTAATATCTTATATTTCTTTTCCTTATATTCTTTATAATTTTTCTAAAAATCTCAATCTTTATTATACAATCTCATCTATTCCTTTTCCGAATTTTTTTTAATCCTTTCAATTTGCTTTTTTTTCTAGAGTCCTTTTTGATCTCAAGAATTCCGTCGATAGCTTTATTCATATATTTAAATTCCGTAAAATCCGACGCATAAGTTTCTTCCGCTACGCTCCGAAACATATTAGAAAAGAATGATTGTGGGAGACTATTCAATAGTATCACTATCATGTCTTGAATAGATTGAAGCTTGTACTCGAGTTAAAGAGTGAGGAATTACATTATTAACATATCAGATACAAACATTGTAGTAGACTTTAACCGCTGGCTATGTGTCCTCTGTTCATTGATAGTGTTGTAGTTACACAATATGATTACACAATATAAAGTATTGAATTATCAAGGCACTGTTTTTCACATCTTTTCTCCTATGTTAAACGTAGTTTCGATAAACTCGTTTCTATCAGATATTGTCACCTACTCCTTTTCGTTTGCCTGGTTTTAGTTGCATAGTGTAGCCATGGGAGTCGATGCCGGCTTCGATATGTATCCTCGTCTGTGTAAAGGAATAGTAGACAGGCACAACTGGGGACGATTTATCGAATTGATTAAAGAGTATTACAAAGATGATACTCAGGTTGAGATAAAGCCGAATTACATCATCTTCAAAGCAGGGGAACATCCCCAGCTTCCCTTTGAGGGCCACAAGTTTCTGCGTTTTAGCTCAAAGGTATCGGGATCTATCGCATCAGATACGAATGTGGAGAGCTATATCGATACTGTGACAGGGTTCGCACAGGCAAACTTCAGCTCTCGTGTCCGATATTGGCACGAGGGTGCCGATCAGTCTGGCGTCTACAATTGGACTGAAGTTCATGAATCAATCAGGTCATATCAGCAGGTCGGTGGTACCTCCCCGGTATCGTGTCTGTGCTTGATGAACAATCTTTGACGTCTCAGTTGCAGCCAGATAAACTTGAGACTCCGTCCAGCATCGCCCAACTCCTTAGTGGCACTGATCCCATCGCGGAGCTGGGCATTGCGCCGTTTGAGATTAAGCACATCATCAGGAAAGGTAAAGGTCTCGTTGCCCGTGTCAACATATCCAAAGGCACTCGAATTATTTGCGAGAAGCCGCTTCTTAAAGCTGTGCCTATGCCTCATGATGAGTTAGAGGCATTTCTCGCGACAAAGTTGAAGGCCATGTCTAGAGAGTCACAGCGACAGTTCCTGTCTCTTCATAACAATTTCCCCTTGGCGCTGTCCCAGCTATTGTGAGCATTTGGCATGCAACTGTGGTTGATTAAGCACACTGTTGGGTAGATGCTGCCTATGGGCGACCCAGAGCTGCATGGCAGAGCGTTCGTCTTGAAGATGCCACTGAATGGGTTCTTCCCCGAGCACGAAACGATCCATGCCATCCGATCGATCGAGAGAGGAGCCGAGATCACAATATCGTACGACCATGGCGGAACGTCAAGCGAGCGACAGGCATTTCTTGAAGAAAGCTTTGGTTTCTCCTGCACCTGTAGTTGTTGCACGCTCCCCCCCTTCTTACTCCAAGCTAGCGACAATCGGCGCACATCAAGAACCTCGATGACGCTATTGGAGATCCGTTCCGCATGAAGAGCAACCCACAAGAGAGTTTGAGGGACTGTTACTCGCTGATTCAAGTCCTCGATCAAGAGTTCGATGGTTGTACTGACGGACTAATTGCTAGGCCCTACTACGACGCCTTCCAGATCAGTATTGCGCATGGGGACCAGGCACGCGCGAGTATATTGGCAGAGAGAGCTTACAAAGCTAGGGTGATCTGTGAAGGTGAGGATAGCCCCGAAACGCTGAGAGCAAAGTCTCTTGCGTTGAAACCAGCCGTTCACAATAGTTTTGGATTGTTTTCTAGGAAGTGGAAAAGCGCGAGGGATTCGGTACCGAAGGGTTTGGATACGGTCGAGTTTGACAGGTGGTTGTTCAGGCAGAAGAATTAAGCTATAAGCCTCTTCTGTTAGCGTTATTTTGTAAATTTGCGGGCCTGTAATGAAGTATACAATAGTTTTCAGGCTGTTGCCTGATCTTTTTCTCCTTAAAGACCGAAATTATCGTTTTGCAAGTCATACATACTAGCACAACATGCGATTCCCAATCGCCTATTAGTTAGTAAAGGATCGCTTATCTCAGTTTTTTGTAGATTCGAAGCTGAGACGCGTTGAAAGCACTTGTGCTTGCCGTCGTTGTGCTCGCTATCGTTATGCCTTTATTCTGTCTCTTGAGAATTGTTGCCTCTTGTCACCCTGCACGCCAGCGTCGTGATAGGCCACACCCTAGCCGCCATAAGAGTGGTAATAGCATTTTAGTATTATAATAAAGTTTGGATATCTAAACTCAATCTATTCAGATGTTTAACTGGTAATGAGAACTTAACGTTGTTGTATCCATATCAAGGGGTGTCTTGTTTTAGTACAAAAGGATACCCTCTGCAAGTTCGAATGGTAGCAAAGATGCAATAATAATTTCCGGAATTGATAGGTCGGGAGTATTTGGTAGCAGTACACGATGTAAATGAGATGAAAATGTGTAGAAAATTTTAGAGTATTCGTAGATTTCAAGTCGTATAAACTTGAAGTACCTACGATGTGTCTGGTTACAGGGGGCGTCTGAGGACGGCTGATTTGAGAAGCCCGTGGGAGTAAATGAAGTCCAGGGAGCGCAGTGGATTTCATGTCACTTGTCCGTCCAACTCACAAGTTCTCTATAGTAATGGATGGATCTACTTCTCTTCCCAATCACAAACGAGATCGTCTCCCAGCACTACCAAAATGAATGGCAACAATCACCAAAAAAACATACAACAGTAGGGATTCGCTGGTGGTCACCCACCCAACTACTAATCTACCGATCTGAGGCTTGTGTATGGCAGAGCGGACGGGATGCCCAATTCTCCTCAGTCTATGGTCGTATGTGTCAAAATTTGTTTTAGTCGAAAATATATATGGTTCAAACCAGTGACACCGTTTGGAACCCAGACCCCCACGCCCAAGCAACAAGCGAGACGAGAAAAGAATGAATACGACTCACCAAAACATAGTTTGGTTGAAAGATACAACCCCAAAAAATCTGTGATTCCATCCAAATTAACGTTGATTTTCATTACATACAGGATATGATATGAAAACAGTTGAAAGCGTGGGTTGACGAACAATAGCTCTACGATATGAGACCACTTTTGAGCCAAGACTCGTTGGCCGACGGGCAAAATATGCTTGTTTGGATGTGTGCTCCATAAATCTATGCAGGTGGATAAGAAAAGATGGGGGTGAATGTTCTTATCTGGTTGGGGGAATGTTCCTCGAAACAACAGTTTGGGGAGATGGGTCGGAGATCATGGAGATGAGAATGTACTGGTAAATGAAATGGTTGAATAGCACGGGTAATAAGAAAATAAGAGATTTTTCGAGTGTTATGAAGTGCAGTAGTCGACTCAAAGGCAAATGTAACAGTCTGGTTTAGTGTATTCTACCTCCTTCCCACAGTTGGAATCGCATTTCTCCTCCAGAAATCTTGTATTCCAATGCCAATAGCTAGTCAAATAGTGTTGAATTATCTCAACACGTCATGAGCAACGAGCGTATGCATAGTGGGTCCAAACAAATGAACCTCTGCTCAATGTTGCCAATTCTTTTGGGACTCAATATCTCAGGACTCTCATCTCCAAAGGAAGATTCACTTATGATCCCTTTTCCTAGTCATCCACTATTGGCAATTTAATCCCTAGATTTTTGATGCTGAATACATCCCACTTATTCAAAGCATACATAATCATATGAGATCGGGAGAGCCGTTCACTCATGATAGACACTCTCATGGATTAAACTCATGGCGCTCTTTCACATGTTCTGTACTGAAGATCATATGGTTACAAGAATAGATGAAGAACTGCTTCATTCCATCGCCACCAATGGCTTTCACACTACCATTCAAATTCAAAATATCATTCCATAATCCAAGAGTTCAACATCCAGACTCTCTATCGGGTACATCCTTACTGTCGGAGGCTTGCCCAAACCATTTCTAATGTTTGGCTGGGTTCAGATGCAGACATTTACTTCTCTTCTTCGAGAAAGTTCTCGTAGCATTCTATTTGGAATACTTACGGAAGAAAACGGCTTCTGATTTGGAAAACCACGAGAGCTATGGAGGATGATGAGAAACAACCGGAAATATCCGCTTGAGAGTTCTACAGCCTTGAGGAAATTCTTTACGTGCTGTTATGACGAGGAATGGGATTTGTCACCACAGTCATAGTCTCAATGTCGAACACTCGTTCGTCACCTAAATACATGAGCGGGATAATGCTATTTGAAGAGAAATCCTGCAAAAAGCCAAATATCAGACACAGCATAGCTAGTATAGACTACATCGATACATATTGAGACGGAACTCTATCGCCGAAGCCGAAGGAATAGAGTAGCGGAACTGCAACTTCACAGTACAATGAGTCAAATCAGCAGATAACAACCGACAAACAACCGCGATGCTATGAATTCCATCCGGATTGATAATAAATATCTTTATACTTTGTGAGAATGGGCCGAGAACACTTGACAGAGGCTACTAGACCTTCCTTCGGCGATTAGAGGAAAGCTGCGACGAAGAGAAAGAAATGGAAGGTTAATCGCGTCATAAAAGCTTAGAAGCAGCTGAGGACATCCCATTTATTTGAATATTTGAATTCATTGTAGCCAAGACCTCCTCGGACTATGCCATTCTCTCGTGAAAGTGATACGTTCGTCCGATAATTCTCATGCTTCTCAAAGTAAACTCCGAAACGACTAGGACTGATTCTGACCAGCATTGTAAGCACAAGGATGTATTTGACGACACTCGCTACATCAACTGCACGATGATAACACGGGCAACTCCTTTGGGCATCCTTGGCCGTGTGTTCGGATGAACTTTGGGGGAGGAAGTGTGAGAAACTGGACCAGATGGGAAATATTCTGGAACATTGGATACAACGCCATCCAACATTCAACGTCCAGAATATTGGGATAAAAACAAAAGTAATTCCAGTTTGATGTAATCATAAGTGAGATCCTAATGAATATCTTAAAGCATATACTTGTTATATATCATTAAAGAGAAGAAATACCTCCTGCCCGCGCGGGGAATGAATCGGTCAATTTGATGTTCCAAAGAGTTGCTGTTGCTGTTGCATTCATTCATTGCTATTGTTTATCAGAGCCGATAAGGAAACTCTAAGGCTAAAGTCTTCCCCCCTTCAATCGATGGATCCTCATAATTTCCAAACTTCAATTAATTCCAATGATTACTTCAATGGAGGCGCCATTGACTTACAATTACCTCAACAATTGAACAACCATCCAATTCAACCAGGGCCAAGATCCTACAAGTCGCGCAAGTATCGTCCTTGTGATTTTTGTCGGGCCCGTCAAGTAAGATGTTCGATATCTTCCGCCCCGCCTTGTCAATTGTGCATATCTCATGGGAGAAGTTGCACATTTGTAGATCGGCCAAAGAAGAAGAGGAGGCCAAATCTTGCAGCGAGCAATGGTGATCAGAGTAGTGGATCTACAACATCTACTTGTATGTTACAACACATTACACGATCATGCAAAGGTCGTGTGTATATCATGAAAGAGATTCGCTGACCTGTGTGTCTGTGAAGCTACTGCTCCTTTGCAACAATATGACGTCTCGGCGGCCCAACTTAGTCCCAGCTTCATCAGCCAATATAGCGAGCATAGCTTTCAAAGCTTGGCCGGACATGATGTCTTGACTGAATCGACTTCGTCTCCAGATCAACAGATTCTCGTCCAAGATGGCTCGCCTATATACAATATGGATCCTTACTTGAACATGATGCAAAGCACACGAATAAGGCCCCTCGATTCTCAGCATTCTACAAAGTCGGCAAGATTTGTTGGAGAAATGGGTGAATCAAATCCATACCTGCTACGTCATTACCGCTATAATGAAAACGATGAATGTACAATATCGAAGTTAACATACCGGCGAATCAAGAACTCCTCAACACAGAATAATTTTTCAGCCCAGAAAGGAGAACCTCCTGTAGTATTTATGCTAGCAGATGATAGCTTTGCGCAGAAAGGGGAGCCAAGGATAGATGATGATGTTCTCAGTAAAGCCGAATCAGATCTGAGGGGCATGTTCACAGACCAAGAAGCCCTCCGTCTTATAGGTCTTTTCTTCCGATTTGTATACCCCTATTTTCCTATTCTATTCAAGAGCCAAGTTTTCCAATCACCAGGAGTACTCTCCCCTGCGATTCTGCATACGTTACCATTTTCTCTGTTGTCGGCAATATACGCTACAGCCCTACCATTTATGTTGTATGATGATTTCCTCGCGACAACTCTTATACATTCACCTCCGACATCACATGAATTGTTTCGTTTGTCCTGGCTCTTCATTCAACAAGAATTACACATTCCACGACTTGCAACAGTACAAGCATGTCTATTGTTACTACAGAGAGCTCCCACAAATCGATATACAACCGATACACCTTGGAAAACGAGTCTTGTGGGGTGGACAGTGAGTCTCGCTCAGATTCTGGGTTTGATGAAGGAATGTAGCAACTGGAGTAGTATACCAGTATGGGAAATGAATTTGAGAAAAAGACTTTGGTATGGAGTTTTTGTCATGGACAAGTGGGCGTCTTTGGGCGCGGGAATGCCAAGCCACATACATGCTGATGATTTCGACGTCCTTCCACTTGAAGATAATGATCTTGAAGCATCAACCCCCGACCCCAACCAACCCATCACAGAATCAGAACCCGATTCAGAACACTTTCGGTTACTAACCGAGCTGACCGCCATTCTCAGCGACATTGTTGATTCCTATTACACAGTGCGGGCAACACAACGTACATCAAAAGATTTCTCGCTATCCCTCGAACTAGCAAGACCACTTCGCACACGGCTCAAGACTTGGAACGATTCAT